CCGAATGGAATAGCAAGAAAAAAGCAATTCCCAGGCAGAACCACAAAACCCTAACGTTTGTCCCTTTCTCGGTCCCCAGTGGGAAATAAGTGAGTTTTTGGGAGTGAGGAGGTGGCCCAGCACCCTGGACTGGTTCTGAGCAGTGCCCACATGCTTCCACGTCCCTGGTGACCCAATCCGCAGTCGGCTTTATCAACACAGGTGCCATCTGGGGCATCAAAGGTGACCCTGGCCTGCTCCTTGGATCTCAGATCAAAGCCACAGAGGAGCAAAAGGCAGCACTTCAGGCCCGCAGTGCACGCAGTTCCACCACCTCCAGGCTTTGTGACACTGCCGCCAGCCTAGCCTTGCGCCTGACCGGCCTTGGGCAGAAGGAAAGTGTCGCCCAGCGCAGAGGTGCCTGCCCCAGCTGCCAGCTTGTGAGGTCCCCACAAGGTGGCTCAGTTCTTTCACCTGTCTCCCACTCCCAAGCATCCAGCCTGGAGGCTGGAGCATAGTGCCCAGTGGTCAGGGCCTTGGCGCCCATCTCTCACACAGCCCCTACCCCCCCCAGTTCCATTTCCCCTCCCCTGGGTACACAGGAGAGAGGGTGAAGAAGGAGACACACCCTGTGCCCCCAGCACGGCACACGAGACTGCCAATGTGTGCCTTGGAGCTGTGTTCTAAGCCAGGAGCTCCCGGGTGAGTCTCAGGGAGTCCAGGAGAAACCGTACGCAAACGTGCATTTCTCAGGGGAGCGGGTCCTTAACATTCGCCAGTATTTCAAAGGTTGAGAATCAAGCTCAAAGAGCAGACCTGTTTACCTAGAAGGGCTACTGAGGCATACATGGCTTAGAACCTTACTACCATCCATATGAGAGTGTTTCTGGGGTAAGTCTGCATTCAGGAGGTGCCAGCTATACCATCCTAGCACTTAACATGCCACATCAGGATGTTCTACCTGCCTGGCAAGAAAGACAAGAAACGTTTTTTTTCTTTTTTTGCTGAGGAAGATTCAGTCTGAGCCAACATCTGTGCCAGCCTTCCTCTATTTTATATATGGGTTGCCTCCACGGCATGGCAGACAAGTGGTGTAGGTCTGTGCCCAGAATACAAACCCACGAACCCGGGCCGCTGAAGTGGAGCATGCTGAACTTAACCACTACACCACAGGGCCAGCCCTGGATAAGAAACTTTTTAAGAACAGGGACAGGATTTTATCCCCAGGGCTGTACCGTCTGGCACATGGAAGGTGTTCAAAAAATAGCTGTAAAATGATTAACTGTTATTACAAACCGACTTTTGGAACACTTTACGTTGAAACTACCCCTACTTGTTGTTTTTTTAAAGTTCTCAGGGCTTTGAGAAGCAGAAATCAACTGCATCTAATGTGTTCTGTAGTGTAAGTTCCAAGTTAAACCAGCAACAAATGTGGCCTGGACTCCAGGGGCCAGGCTGGTGTGGAGCCCTGCACACGTGCGTGCACACACACGTCCAGCAGCCCTGTGAGCCAGGGCCGGTCATTACACTGCTTACAGGTGACAAAACTTGAGACTGGGGGGGGTTTAGTAATTTGCCCAGGGACACAGCTGGTAAGTCACCCGAGGCAAGACACGTGGGAAGTGACAAAACCTAGAAACACCCCCACAGTCTTTGATGCTCAACTACTGATTACTAATTCAACAGGGAATGGACGTTCAGCTACAAAATTAAAATTAAAAACTGTTTTTCTTCGAAAGGGACTCTCTTTTTGAATCAAAACAATACATAAAACTTTTGTGGAGTAATGGCAATCTCCTTCAAATTAACTGCAGTTTTGGGGTTAAAAAGACGTAAGCAGTAATATCAACAGACTATGAATATATTAATCTAATGACATAAACCGCCACTTAAACAAATTCATTCTAAACAAGGACTGCAAGGCTTTTCCTGCCTCGGAGCCCATCTCCCCGGCACCATGGGTTGTCCCACGTGAAGGAGCCCACCTGGTGGAGCCGGGCCAGCCGCCAGCAGCCCCTCACTGGCCTTCCCGTCAGAGCCCACCTGTCCCCTGGACCTTGGGCGGGGCCATCTGGGAAAATACAAACTCCCTGTCGGGGGACAACCTTATCGACCGCTGACTTCTCCCTGGCACCTAATCCTGCACATGAGATTTACCAGACATTCAACAGACACTGGGAGGACATTTTCCTCTTTCCCAGAACAAACAGGGACTGCAGCATTTCCAGGAGGGATCAACGCATTTGGTGCAACACCAGCAAGGACACCACTGGCCCTGCCTCTGCCTCGCTGGCCGCCCTGGGGAGGAGAGCCTGGTGCTCACTCAGCTGACTGTGTGAGGCACAGGGATCCTAGGGCGTGTCCACACGAGGAAGATGCCTTCCCTGCCAATAAGCCAATTTTTTTTTTATCCCTGAGAACAAAGTTCTCAGCAATCTTCATTTTTACACATCCAATTTTTAGAAGAGTTCCTTCGACAGTAAGTACTAACCTGTCCTTGGTTGTTTAATAGTCAGTGGTACAGTCAGCAGGCTCCCCTGGACTGAAACCCCAAACAAAGTGACAATCCTATATCCCCTCTGGATCCTAGGCCCCACACTTGCCAGAGCCCCCATGTGCCACCAAGACCCCCCATGTACCCCTCCCTCTGTGTACCCCAGAGGACCTCGGCCGCAGCTACCCGCCTCCCCCTCCACTTTGGCCTTAAGTGGCTGCAAAATTTACAGAAGATTCTGGTTGGCGGAGTAAGTGGACCTGCCTTCTCTACCAGGTCCTGCCTCAGGGCTCCCACAGGGACCCCATGCAGATTTCAAGAATGGACCTGGGACAGGAAAACGCAGTGGGAGGAGCAGGGACAGAAGCCTGCACGCAAGACCACCTTCCACGCTTCCCCAAGGCTCATGCCGCAGCAAGATTCTCCTGACAGCAGGGAAAGCAGCCTGAGCGGCACCAGCCACGACCCGCAGGCAGAGGCTGGGGCAGGCAGGACAGTGACCTTCCGTCCCTTCCAGGTGGGGCTCTGGGTCCTCTTCTCCACGGAAGACAATGTCTAAAAATGCACCCTGAAAAGAAATGCCCCCAATGGCATTTACCAACCGGGCTGCTCCCTCCCTAAGCCTCTTCTATTTACTGGGGTCAGGAGACAAAATGCAAAGTTTAAGGCTGGGTTTCCTCAAGGATTCCACACAAGCCGTGTGAACCGATCCCCAGTTCCTGCAGAAGAAAGCCTGTTGAGATGTCAGTGGAAGGAGCGGGCCCGGTTCGGTCCAATGAACATTTATTAACCGAGGGCTGGGACCCAGGTGGCGGGAGGGGAACAGGCCCGTCCTCATTTGACACCTGCCAGGACCCTGGGACTCCAGAGGGACGGCCAGGAACCCAGGTCTCTGCCTCACCCTCTTCACTGGACTTGCTGTACGACAGATTCTATTTACTTATCGTCTGTCACCTCAGAAGAGTGACCTTGCTCTTTTTTAGATTTTCTATGGACACCCTTGGACATACGGTCACCAAGAGGAGGGCAGTAAGAACAGAGGACAGTGAACGACGGCTAATTCCTAGAACAGTGCTCAGAGCGGATCGAGAGACAGATGCGACGGGGTCAGCCTGGGGAAATGGAGTCAAGGAGAACATGGGAAACCCGCAGCTACCCTCCAGGAAGGTCTGCCCTGAAGCAGCCTGAGCGGAGGAAAGCAAGCAGAAGGAGGGAGTCCTGTCGCTGGGTTGCTTTCTTTTCACAACAAGATGGAACGTGGAGAACAGCAGTTCCCTCCACAGCTGCACGGAGGCCAGCGAGCCCAGGCAGGAGCTACCCTGACCCGCACTGTGGGTCTGACAGAACGTGGCAGATCCGTGTGTAACGGCAGGGTGGGGAGGAGACGGAAGAGCTGAGTCTAAAATCTAAAACCCTTCGGTGACTCTGCCCCGGGAGCCCTCTTTCTTTCCACTGGGCTGTGAAGTTTTCTCCAAAATATTTGTCCTGAATATACAGAGGGTTAAATATTTGTTTCCCACAACGATTCACGATGGCACTCCCTTAAACAGCAAACTCTTTTAGAACGCTTAAAATGAGCCCACTTTCAAAAATTCAATTCACACATCATTTTTCAGGAATATTATAAAAGTTAGAGGCATCCTCCCAGACAGCAGCTTTTCTTCCAGGCCCGTGCCTGTGTCATCCATGGAAGAATCTGGAGGCCTGGAAGCCAGAACCAAAGCTGTGTGCAGCTGCGATCCACTGACATCTGAGCGGAGGCTGTGGGCACTGTCCATGCAGGACAGCCATCGCGGGCCACCTGGCAGAAGCTCCCCTCAAAGCAATTCCCGCTCAACTGTCTGTAAAACTCTTTCTTGTTATTTCCTACGAAGCCTTTGATAGGGACTGAGGGAACAAGGGACCTAGAAAACAGACCAGGAGAATGTTGCCCCAGCCACTCTAAAACAGTGTCCTCCAAACACATACTTACAAGAAAAAGACAGGAGCGCATGAAGAGCACATTTCCAGCGCCCTTTAAAGCATATTTTAGGAAACACAGAGGCGTTTAAAAGGCCCTACCACACTAAATGTCTGTTCTACAAGAAGTATTGGCATATGGCTTCCTCAGATTTGGGCAGCTCTCAGGCACTCGCCTGCCCCAGCACCAGGGAAGGGGGCCCTCTGAGGCCCCTCCGTCCCGCTATGCCCTTTAAGACTCGAGGTGGTACGCTAACAGATGTGGCAGGGGCTAGAGGCGGGGGTGAGCTTGAAGACCTGGGCTGGCCACATACCTGGCTGCAGGCTTGCAGACCAGCTTGCTCAGTACCTGCACGTGGATGCCAGCTGGTGCTTGAATGCGTTCAGACAACCTATGAGTGCCCGCGCTCCCCAGCCCTCGCAGAGGCACAGAGGCTGCTGGAGCGGGCTGGGGACAACCGAAAGAAGGCGGCAGACTGACAGACATGAAATGCTTACAACACGTGTTCTGAATACACCAGAATAGTAAGAGCCCTTCAAAAAGCTTGTGACGGTCACGCCACCTCACCTCTGGAGTGTTCTTCTTGAACTCTCGGCTCTGCTCGATGAGCCGCTTTCTAGACTGCTCGCTTTCATCTTGCCGGTTTGCCAATACTGTTGCGGTGGCATCGAGTTCCCTCTGTCGAGAGAAAGAAAAAGGAAAGAGGAGATTATAATCGTACTTTGTACAGAGGAGGGCCTGTGTGCATCTGACCAGAACAGTGGAGAAGCCCCCGTGGGTCCGGGATCAACTCATCGGCAGACGAGGGGCTGGGGCCGGCGGCAATGATGGGGTCCCTGTCCATCCCCCTATGCTGGTTCGAGAACACAAACTTGCTCGGCTTGACATGTTGTGTATGACACACACCTCACACAGACTGTTTATATCACGGAACACGCAGATCCGTTTTTCTTTGCTGAAACCAGAGTCAGGCCAGTGCCCAAGTGCCATCCCTCACTGGTGCCACTCGCTTCTGCTCCTAACCAGCGTCTCCCTTCGTCAGGTACCGCACTCCAGCCTGGCTCTACTCTGGGCTTCTCAACGGTGTGTTCTGTTTGTCTGTCCTTCTCCAGTGGGGGCTTGGAAGCTTCTATAGCAACACTTCATCTGCTTTCACACAACGGATACTTATTGTGGGTTTACTACAGGCCAGACATCGTGTCCAGGACCATTAAAACGAACCTGCCACTTGTTTAAGAGTGACCTTTGAAAGGCAAATTCCAAGAAGAATGATTTCCAATATCTCATAAACTTCGGAAACGAGGCCCCTGGAAATAGCAGGTGTCCTCACACGATTTTACAGGCACTAAAACTCTTGACAGCCACCAGGGGAGTGGGTCCCCTGTAAGAGTGGCACACAACAAAAGACCCTCAGAGCACAAGAGAACCTGGGCCTGGCCTCAGCAATCCCAGCAGGAGCTGCCACGAGGATCTGTTCCCAACAAGCCTGCAGCAGACGGGCCCGGAGGGGTGCCCTAGGCTGACAGCAGGAGCGCAAGGACACACTCTTGGAGCCAGCCGAAAGGCCTGTTTCCTTGCTGTTACTCTGCTCAGGATTAAAGATGGCTGCTCCACATGGCTTCTCAATGCCTGGACCACCCCCCGAGGCCCAGGAGAGCAAGGACCCAATCAAAGGCTGAACGGCGAGGAAAATCAAGGATGAAGATCCATCCACAGACATCCAGAAGCACCTGTGTGCTTCTCCACCCACCCTCCACCCAGCTCATGAAGTTCCACCTGCTTTCCTTTTTGGTGGAAATAACCGAAGTGGTCTGGAAGCCCTCCCGGTGGACACTTCATTCGTACCACTCTGGGGTGGCCCACTGCCAGACAAGATGACAGAGGGCTGGGACAAACATCCAGGGTGCTGTCAACTTGGAAATCGCTGATAGTTTTAAAAGGGGGGAGGGGGAGAAAAACTGGGGATGGAGGGAGATACCACCACACCACACTCTCCCCCTTAGCGTTTTTGGCATGACAGCAGATCTTGGGCAAACAAGCCCCAAAGAATACCGTGGGCTAGCATTCAAGAACAGATGTCAAAGCTACTGCAGAGAAGAGGGAAACACGGCACATTCTGATAGACCACATTTGAAACACATCCCAGGCGAGGGAAGGAGGAAAAAAGAGCAGCGAACCAATGTGGTGGCGCGGGCGAGGGAGAGGAGAGAGAGCAGTCGTAGATAAGCAGAAGGCTTCTCAGAAATATAAACAATCTGGGAAGGAGGAGGACTTAGACATCTATATTTAAGCAGCAGCAGAAGAAGTTATAAAAGGAGACTTCAAGATGGGGGAAAAAAGCCAATATTGAAATATGACAAAAAAAGTAAAGTTGATGTTTCGTTCCAATCACACACGGATGCAGAAAACTTCGAGAAAAACAAAGAGCACTGACTGCTTTCAACGAGGATGCTATTTCCCGGGACGGGGTGTCACCCTGTGAGCATGTAGGGTGACTTCTGCGCCAGGCACTGGATGCTGGGGGTACACAGGTGACTGTGGGGTCCCGGCCCCTGCCTTCCTATTTAGGAGAAAGAGCTTGGGGACAGTGGCGGGCGGGGCGCGCATGATGGCAAAGAGCACATGGTCCGTGGGACCCCTATTGCTGCTGGGTCCCCACATGTCCCTCTCTCTCTAAGGTCCGCCCCAGCCCAGCACCGAGGAGCCCGACTGGGGAGGGTCGAGCCTGGAACATGCCACTTGATGGAAGGGAGCAAACCCACCTTTATCATGGGCTGCAGGGCCAGCCTGCCTGAGGCAACTGGCTGCTGGCAGTCGGGGACCCTCCAGGGGCCTACCACACTCCCTTCCACACGCATGCACACATATGCGGTCCACACGAGAAACCAACAGGATCTCCAAATTTAATATGGTGCCGCCACCCGCCACCACAGAGACAGACGGGCACAGCCAGGAGAAGATACCGAGCTGCTCCCACCCCAGGTCACACTGAAGGCTCACAGTCTTTGACCAAGTCCCTTGAAAGAACACCACCAAATCCCTTTGAAGGACACCAAGGCTAAGACTGTGGGGACAATGCAAAGGGAAGCGACACTGTTAAACATTAAGCCAAATACTGTTTCATTATCTACCTAGCCTGCCTTTACTCAAAGTGTCAAATACAATGACACATTAATGGGGAATTTAATGTGTTTAGAGAAGGTTGCAGTGGGGGCCTAAAATACAGAACCCTCAGCCCCTGAGTCACTGGTCACATGTAAAAAGGAGCATGGAGAGTCCCCACACCTGAAAGGCAGTAAAAACTCGCAAAGAGAAAAAAATAACAAAAACAGACGGGAACCAACCTAAATGTCCCGCAATGGCGTGACGGCATGCTCACTCCAGGATTATTCTGCAATGGTTAAAGAAAAGAATCTACAGTCCTACACGCACTATGTGAGATGCAATGATTTTCAAGATATATTTAAGCAAAAAAAACCACAACAAAGTACAAAACAATGCTAGCATTGTTTAAAAGAGGATCTATACATACGCTTGCATAAGCTTTGTTTGGCTCTAGAAAGATACAGGAGACATTAGAAAATGTGTGGCTCTGAGGCACCCGGGAGGAGGGGACCTGCTCTTCAGTACACATCTTTAGACTATTTTGCCATGTGCATGTATTAGCTAACTGGAAACACTGCAATATATATATTAGTTTAAAAAATCCTACTAATGGTTATAGAAACATATTTACATAAGCTGTCTCATATATGAGTGTTCCTGGTCTGCACGTCCACCTGCCCAGAGGCAGAGGCCTGGAAGAGATGGGTGACCTCTTGACTCACTCTTGTGATTCAAAAAGTGAGGCAAGCGTGTCCTTTGTCAAAACAACAGCTGGTTCTTGCACAACGCACTGCACATGGGCCAGTCTCAGGGCTTATGGACGAGGAGGAGGCGGCCGGCCACAGAGAACACCACTCGGCCAGGCCAGCACTCTCCCAGGCAAGGGCAGAGCGGCGCGTCGCCTCAGAACTATTTAAAACTGTTTTCCCACTGGAAACACCCCACAGCCTCAGAGGCGAGGGAATGGGAAGCTGGCAGGGCTGGCAGCAAACCAACGGGGTCTGAACACACGTGCGCTTCCCGCCAGGCTGAGAGGCCTGAAGACTGCTCAGGAAAGGTCTTGCCAGGACAGCCACATGGATGCAGAAGCTGTGGGGTTTTCTCTCAAAGTGCTCATGGGATGACTGATGCCAGGAGGCGAGAGGTGTGGGGAAAACCTCCGGCTTTGGAACAAGCGGCTCCGTGCAACAGCCACACCTCCTCCTACGAACGGGCGTCCTGCCGAAGAGCTGTGGCTGACTGCGCCCCACTGTTCCTCACGGACGACAAGTTCCGGGATGCTCTGTGTCCATTTCTGACAGACCTCAAAGGGCAAAGCTCTTAACATTTTAAATTACTCTCTGCCTGAATCCAGCCTCTCAGCCAAGTGTTAAAGATTTATTAAAACACAAAAGATAAAAAGGGACCATGTAGCTGCTTATTTAAAAGAAATGGTGGGAAAAATATCTTCCCAAACAAAACAAGTCTTTTAAGGATGTCAGTGAGCAGTTTAGAACTGCTCCTCTTTAAGGTGTGTATTTCAGCTGTGTGTCTATTTCCCAGTGGGGGGCACCTGCAGGGCCACCGCCACTCCTGTGAAACTCTCTCCTTAAGGCCCCGGGCCAGGCCTGCTGGTGCTCTCGCACAGATGCATGGGGCCGCTGGGGCCTCGCAACCCTGGGCCAGCAGAGAAAACACACACCCGGGTCCACTGAAAGTGAAGGAATGTCTTTTTAGTGTCGCGAACTTTAATCCAGAGAGTTCGTTCATCTGATGTTTCTTCGGGGCTAATCTGTTACACTAATCAAACAGCAAATTCCATGTAAGAATTTAAAATGGCTTCATCAGTGACGTCAAAGAACACTTGTGCGAAAAGCGAAAGGCCAGCCACGTGCACCGGGAAGTCCGTGGGGCATTTTCTGTTTCGCTTCCAGCAACAGAATCATTTGGAGAAATGGAAGCTGCTCTGGCTAGAGAGGGGGAAGGGCCCAAGTCCACTTACCAGCCTCCTTCTGTCACCCCCACCCCTACGACCCCCTACACAGAACATCTGAAGACCCTGCAGACAGTGGCCTCAGAGAACCCTGGCCTGGAATCCAGCCTCCACCCCTGCTGTAACCTGTGTAGCTTTGGTCAATGACATCCCCTCTCTGGAGACAGTGAAGATACTGCATGTCAACTGCATCACATAATAAATGCTCCATCAAAGAAAAGTTTTCTGTACTCTCATAGCCACGCGCTTGACCTCAGGCCTGAATTCATTCGGCCACCAGTACCCCCAACGAGGCTAGGGTTTCCAGGGAAGCAGATGAATCAGAAGCTGACACTGACCCCCAAGTGCCCACAGCCCAGCCGAGGAAACTAGGCAGGCATGGAAGAGCGACAAGACAGAAGGGACTGGGCCGGTGGAATGAGAACAGAGGCAGATGTTAGAAAAGGGAGAAATACTGCCCGCAAGAGAGGTTGGGGTCCCCGTTCCTGTGAAAGACGCCCATCTCGGCTGGGGCCAGTGCCGGGGACGGGCTCACTGGGACCCGCGCAACCCGAGGGGCAGGTGCTGTCAGAGACCAAGAACGGGGCTCACAGGAACCAGG